ACAACAAAATAATGGTATGGGTGGATTTGGTCAACCACAAACTGGAAGTTCTTTTGTTAAATATCAAGAAACAATCAAAGAAGGATCAAATTATAAATCAATCAATTTTATGTCACAATTCAAAAATAAGTCTTTAATTGAAATTCGAACAGAAGATTATAAAGCAAATAATGGAAATAAACCTGTTCCACAACAAGGAGGAATGTTGGGAGGACAACAAAATGGATTTGGTCAACAACAAGGAGTATTTGGTACTCAACAAAATGGTTTCGGACAACAACAAGGATTATTTGGAGGTCAACAAAATGGATTTGGGCAACAACAAGGATTATTTGGAGGTCAACAAGGAGGAATGTTAGGAGGACAACAAAATGGATTTGGTCAACAACAAGGAGGATTATTTGGAGGACAGCAAGGAGGATTTGGAACAAATGGGTTTGGACAACAAACACAGGGAGGATTTGGAACAACTGGATTCGGTCAAACAACTGGATTTGGGCGTTAAGAAAATTTTAGCTCAACAATGGTAATTATTATCTTTTTTAATTAGTTAATTATTTTTTATTTTGTTTTTTTATTTATAACAAAAAGAGTATTAATAAAATATTTGAAGCATATTACTACTACTTTTTAAACAAGTAGACATTTATATATCCCTCAATTATTGTTGCAAGCTTTCCCTTGGAATAAAGCCAATCACCGAAATTATTCCTACACAAAGCGCAGTTATTTTATTTTGTTGATTATATTTTTAAAAAGTATTTCATTTAAATAAATATTATTATGGTTTCTTTATTTTTAATAACTTATAATTTATTATTTAAATAAATTTATTAAATTAGTTTATGCTTTTTTCCTTTTTTCTGACGTATACAAAAATCTTTGTTTTATTCTCAGATAATTTGTTTTTATCACATGATAATGTTTATACAACCACAGTATGTTTGATATTGGAAGAAAAATTTTATATCTTAATTAAGTTAAATACAACATAACATAAGTTGGATATATTTGTAGTTAGACTTTTTATAATGAGAAATTGTTATTCAAATGACACATCACATTCTGTTTCTTCAATAAAGTTTATTCCAAAAAAAATATTCACAATAGAATATCTGTTTTTATGGTCATTGAATAAAAAATTAGTTTTGTATATTTTTATTCATTATAGCCTGTAGTGACTTATTAAAATATAATGTAGTTTCATTCTATTCTTCTTCTTATTTATTTGTTTTAGTTCTACTCGATTTATATTTATTATATATGCTATTTCTTATATACCACCAGCATATTTCTTTTCTTTCTATTCATTTAAAATATCATTTACGTTATTTACTATATACCAAATATTACTTTTGTTCTCTTAATAGTTCTATTTTGTGTGTCATTTACTGCTTCTGTTGTTTCATTTCTTTTGTTTATTATTTGGTTTATTCTTCTTTGTTTATTTTTCAAATAGTCATACTCTTTGTTTTTTATTGTGACATTTATTTCTATTAAAATTGTTCACTATTTATGAATATGATATTTGTTGAAGTGATAACTGAAATAGTTAAACAATGTTATTGTAGTTAGTATGATGTAGCTTTGATAATAATTAAGTTTCTAATCATTGAGATACTACCTATTTTCAGTTATTCTAATATTACGTAATTTTCTGTGTGATATTGATTTATATTTCTTCTTTTTTGTAATAATTTCTTCAAATTTATAACTCGTGAAATAAATTCAGTAGATTCTATTTAAATTGAATCTAAGTTGTTTAAAGATGAAAAATTGGTAGTTTTTTTAAAGTAACAAATTCAAATTTTAGTGAATACAATGAAACAATGACTCAGTAGAATTGTTTTTAATTCAACAAAGTGAGATACTTATTCTTAGCGAATATAAAAAAGAAGAAGTAAAATAGAACTTTATTTTCATAAACTACAAAATAAACAAAACAATTAATTTCAATGAATCTTTTTGTGTGGGGTGTTTTTATTATGACACCAATTGCTGTTTGGATAGGTATATATTTTAGAAAATGGAAATATCGAAGTCATTTTACAATATTAGAAGTAGTATTTTTATTAGGATGTATTATTTTTTCTTTACATGAAGACGCTGAACCTCATTATTTACTTGGAATGACTTTGCTTCAGGAAATTATTTTATTTGAAGTTTCTATATCATATGTAATAGAAATTACTGATTTTGTTATTACTTTAAAAGAAAACAATCAAACAGATGAACTTAGAACAATTATAATGCATACAATACCTGGTTATATTGGAATTCTTTATATGTTTTATGTAAAACAGTGTGGTGGCTTAATTGTTAGATTATTATTAGATTCTGTTTCTTTACTTCTTTCAGAACTTAACCAACTTGTACCTGCTAAATATCACCAGTTATTAGATGATATTTATTCTATAATGTTTGTTATAACTCGAGTTATTTATTATTCAGTTCTAAGTGTTTATGGAATTTATATTATGTTACTTCATTGGGAATATATAGACAAGGTATTGTTTTTGATGTATTGTATATGGACAATTTATGTACTTTATGACCACGTTTATTATTGTTTTTGGAGATATTTTAGGTTTGAAATTGTTAGAATTATTAAGTTCTATTTGTTTAATAAAACAGAAAACGCCAAGACAGTTGAAGAACAAACTGAAATAAATAATAAGCAAATAGAAAGTATGACTATTCATAATGACATTAACAACTCTTTTAAAGATAACCAACAAAATGAATTTAAAAAAGATTAGATTAAAAGTTAAGACAAGTTACTCCATGTTCTTTTAATTCATTAACGTTAATAATACAATCTTCTTCTGTTTTATATAACAATGTTCTTAATTTATTATAATTTAAAATTACATTCTTTAATGAACTACAATTTTTTATTGTTACACCAATTGGTTCTACTACTGAAGAATTTTTAAGTTCTGTTAATGAAGAACAGTCTTTTATCACAAATTTTTCAATTGATAATGGAAGGGTAAGTGAATTAATAAATTGACAATATTCAACAACTAAGAATTTAATTGAAGAAGATAAAATGATTAATGAACTTGAACATTTTTCTATTTGTACATCTTCTAATGAACAACATTGATGAAGATCAATTATACATTCACAATTATTTAATTTTATTGTGTTTAATAAAGGAAGGTTTAATATTTCAGGTATCCATTTTAATGTGGCATTTCTTAATTGAGTTAAATCAATAAGATTTAATATATTAAAATCAGAATTTAATTCAGTAATAGTCATGGGTAATTCAATAGTAATTCCTTCAGTATAAATTCCATTAAGACTCACTTTTTGAATTCCATCAAATTCTTTTAATGAATATATTTTATTAACATCTTTACATTCATTAACTGGTATAAGAAATGTTGGTTCTGAATAAATTTCAATTGAATGAGGAAGAAATTGTTTTATTCGTTTAAAACATGGAGTATGTAATTCAGATAAATAACAAATAAATTTATCAATTTTATAACAGATAAAATTTCTCCAGTCAGAACTAACTAAATAAGCATTTGTTTGTTGAAGTAGTTTGAGTGAGTCTTTGCTCAATGTAGTAAAGTGAAGAATAACTTTGACAGAAGGAGATAAAGATACAATAGTTTGATATAATTGTGAAATTACTTCATCTTCGGTAATGAAAATTACTACTTTCTTTAGACATGAAAATTCTAAGAGTCGAGATATATCACTTGGAAAGACTGTGTTAATAGTTTGTAATTGTGAAAAGTGTGAAGGACATTCTGGGATATATGTTGATTGAATCACTTTATTTTCTAATTGCATTGGAATATGTCCGTTTGAGTGCCTGATACTAGAAAATCGAGAACATTCAGTTATTAACTGTTCTATTCTATTACCACAATTAAAACAGTGAATACCTTTGAACAAAAGTAATTCTTGTTTCAACGAAGAAGTTCTTGCTGGTATTTTTTTACCGTTAAACACAACAGAATAACAAGGATTTTCCTCTAATGATTGTATTGAACTAAGAGCTTTCTTGTTAATTAAAGAAAAGTTTTGGGCATCCTTTAACGAAGATAAGTAAGGAATAATTGAATGATAATGTTGTGATAACAGCATGTAAGTAAAAAAAGAAAAACAAAAGTTCTAGATCTAAAAAATAGATATGAAAAAAGGAGAACATGGTTCAATGATTGAAAAACGACCAATACCTCCAAAAAGTATTGAATGCAATGTAATAAAAGGAAGTAAAAAAGCAACAAAAAAGAAAGATGTTTATGAAACAAGAAAAACAAAAAAAGTTACTGATAATGATCATACTATAAATAAGGTTGAAGAATTTTCAATGCCAATACAAGAAAAGAGTAAAATTCAAAAACAACGTCAAAACGAAATAAAAAAGAAAGATTCAATTAACCAACAAGGACAATTACCTCTTCAAAAAGAAACACAAAGTATAACAAATAGTAATAATAATAAATGTATAAAATCAAATGGAACAATACATCTTATTATGTTAATGAGTATTTTAGATAGGATAAGTGATGAAGAAATATATGCATTAGGAGAGATTGTTGATGACCAATGGATGAATGAGATTGGAATGATTATAAATGACCCAGAAGTTAGTCCAAAAGTAGTTCAGCGTTCTTTGTTCTTAGCACAAAGTTTTCATGAAAGAGATTTAATGCCAATTAAAGAAATTCAAAAACTAGGACAATTAGTTGGAAAAGGACAATATGAAATTATTCTCAGTGGTTCATTTTTTCTTGATGAAAATATTATTCAACTTATTTTCATGGAAAGGAGGATTAAAGCATTCATATTCTGTGATGAGGCTAATCAACAATTCTTATTTATTGCATCGAATGATGGAGTTAAAGGAAGGATTTTAAAAGGCAACGATGTTTTCATGCAAAAAATTAATGGAATTTGGCAAAATTTAACATTGCCAGAATACATTTGCTCAGTAAGAATCAAAGAAAAAAACATAATATGGCTCTTTGAAACTATAAGACTCAGTGTTGATATGAGAATAAGTTGTTTTGAACAGAATAATCAAATACATATTGGAAGATATATCAAGAAATTAATGATTATTACATTTTATTAAATAATTGATTGAATTACTATTTATTCTACAATAGAATGAATGTCTCTTGCACCTTTTCCACTTATTAAATGAATTAACATTTGTATAATAAGATAGAACCAATAAATATGCAATGCTAGTAAAGAAAATAACATCAACATGAATAACCCATATGTTAAATATTTATATTTAATTGTATCAGGAACATAGTTTATGGCTATCAAACCTGCTCGGATAATGTACATAGGAAATACATATAGTCTAAATAAAGCATAAACAAACGTTAAAAAAATAAAACAAAGACTTCCAGGGATAATGTTTTCAAGATCAATTGCCCATTTTGAAAAGTACATAAAAACATCAACAATATCATGAAGAATTAAAACAAGAACTCCAATTCTGGCACAGTTATTAGTATAAGAAAATGTCATCAAAAAAACAGAACATAAATGGTGTAAGAGTGTTTCAAAGAAATCATTACGAGGAGTAGATAGAAGATGAAATAACAAGGATTGGAGATGGTATCCTAATTCCCAGTTATAAAATATAATAATACTATTAGTTTGTGGTGTTAAGGGAAAATCTTCCCAAAGTAAGGATATGTCCTGTTTTCCATTACCAAACAACACAGCAGGAACCCAATCTTCATTTTTGAATAAACAGATACCAAGAGGAGCAGTGATAAAGAAATAGATATTTTTAAATACACAATGACCAAAACGTTTAACACGTTCTTTTCTAACCTTTTTATTATTCCATTTTTTTCTCTAACAATGTGAATGTTGTAGAATTAAAAGAAAAAAAAATATCAAACATCAATACACCATTCACCAAGTTGATTTAAGACATCTTTTGTTAAAAAATATCTAAATAGAGATAAGAATATTAAAATAAATAATGATGGAAATAGATCTGATGCTTTTGGAAAATTTGATGGAATAATTAAGTTTTTAGTTTGGTATCGAGTTAAAGAAGTTGGAAAACAAATAATGGCTAATGGAATAAGAATTATTATTTGTACAATAGAAAGTTTGTCCTTGATATTTTTTGATTTTATTATTACATTTTGACGTTGAGTCATAATTTATTAATAAATAATTCTTTTTAATTCTATTTTACAACATAGTTTATACAATAAAATGAGATTGAATCATATATGAAAAGACAACTCTTAAAATAGTGTCTAATAAAACTTTAATATAACCAAAGGAATAAAAACAAATAATACGGAAAATGAAAAAAGTGAAATTAGAATTATGTTTTTAAACAATTTCGACATTGACCCAATTACTATTTGAAACTTTCAATAATTTCACATAAAGAATACCTTCTTGATAATAGGCTTTAATTCCATCTTTACTTGCATCTACAGGAACAGGAACTTCTCTTCTAAACTGACCATATAATATCTCAGTAAAACAAAAATCACCTTCATCAATTGGCATGTTCTTATTACCTGAAACAATAACCCAATTATTACTGTATTGTAAAGATAAAGACTTTTTATCAATACCAGGAACTTCAAATTTGAGTAAATAGCTTGTTCCACAATCTAATAATTCACATGGTGGTTCCCATGTCATAGAATTGAAATGTCCAACCCCACTAGGATCAACAAATACCCGGTTTTGTGAGGTCTTTGATAAATATCGAGATAGATGAATCCATTTTGGTTCAGGTTTAGCTAGTTGTTGGTTGTTTTGTGAAGGGGGAATTGCTTCAAGTGATTGTACAATAGGTGCTTCAGAACTTGACATTAATAAGTAATTAATAAGATTACTTCTTTCATCGTTTTTATTTAAGATCAAAGTGTATGATGACGTGGAAATACGTTATTATGGGTGATTTGACGTTTTATCAGAAGGAAATAAAATGAAAGGAATGAAAAGTGTGTCTATTAATAGTTTTTTTGGATATAAAACAAAAAAAGAATAACTAAAGTGATAAAAAAAGAGATATAAAAAAATATAAAAGCGAATAACTAAGAAAAGGAAAGAAATGACTGTAAACAATTATCCACTTATTCTTAAACTTACATATAATGAGATGAAAGAAATTAATACATTAACATTAAACCAGGAGTCATTAGTAAGGAATCATATTATTAATGCATTACAAATTTATGAACAACGACATAAAACTAATATTACAGAAGAGAATGTTGTAGTTATACTAACAACTTTTTTAGTTATTTTACAAACAAAAGAAATACCAGAGGAAATACATTTAATTGTATGTATTGCAATGAGAAAAATATTAAAATTTTTAAAAGATATTGACAAAGCAAAATATTTTATTTCTTCATTTATTTTTACTCAAATTAAAGAAATTGAACAAAAAGACAAAATTATTATTCAAAAATTACTTTTTATTAGAGACTGTTTGGAATATGAAAATGACATATGTATTCTTAGAAAAGGTATTAAATGGTTTATTCAATTATATGGTAATTTAGTTAATAGTAACATAAATGTCTTTATAAACAATAATATTTCTATAATATTAGAATGTTTAAATAATGTTCTACATTCAAAAATTTCACATTTTATTCAAACAGAAAATGGTTCTGAATTACATGACTTTTTATTATTTTGTTTAAATTATAATTATTGTGAATATGAAAAAGTTTATATGTTAGTTATTCGTCAGATACATGACATTTATAATGAGTATTATCTTTTAATAAAACAAACAAATTCAATTTTTAAAGTCTTTAAAAAAGATATTATTCCTCATTTACTTACTTTAATTTCTCTTCAAAATATTATTTCTACTGAAGAGTATCATCTTTCTCAAGAAGTATTTTCATTTTTAAATGATATTTTCAATAGTTCATTTAAAATGAAAATAGAAATGGAAAGTTATCTTGTTCAAATGATTTATTTAATAGACTTTATTTATAATGATCGTACAGATTCTAAATATCAAATTCCCAAGGAAAGAGGAGATCAAATATTACAATGTATTTATACTAATCTGAAAAGTGTATTATCAATGAATAATTGTATGGCAAAGTTATATATTAACTATGATTGTGATGAATATTGTACTGATCTTTTTCAATTTTTTATAATGACATTATTTAAACAAATTAATGCACAAGGTTATCATTTACTTCTTCCTTTAACTTTACAATGTCTTCAAATGATTGTACCATTTAAACAAAATGATGGTTTTGATTGGAAAACTTCATTAAATAGAAAAAAAGAATGGAGAGTTATTGGTGCATTATTTAATGATAATTTTGACATTGGTATTGATGAATATTTGAAATTAAATAACTTTAAAGAGAAAACAACTAATATCATCGCTCAAATGTTTGTAGAAATCCCACAAATTAATAAAATTAAAATGGTAGAATATTTTTTACAACCAAATGAATTTAATGAAAAAGTATTTATTGATTATATTAAACAAATAGGATATGTGACAATGTCATTAAGTCAAGCATTTATTTCTATTATAAAGAATATTTGTTTACCTCAAGATAAATTAAAAACAAAAAAGTTATTTGATCTTTTTGCTAAAGAATATATTAATGAACATCCAAATGAAAAATGTTCTTCTAATGACATTTCAAATGCATTTATTGAAATATTATCAAAACCTTCTTCTTTTGAAGAATATTTAAATGTATTAAAAGAAAATTATTGTGATAAACATGAATTAAACCTTATTTTCTTATTTGTTTCTTCTCATCCTTTAATTGTATTGAATAGATTACCAACTACAACTCCAACATTATTATTAAATGAAGAAATAGAATTAAGAGAGTCATTATGTCGAAAAGAAGTTGAAGTTAATACAGAAGTTTATAGTCAATTTTATAACATTTTTTGTAATTTAATTCTCAGCGTATTAGCCAAATCAGAACGGTTTAACGAACTAGAAAAAAATTTATATGAACAAATAATTATTCATTCAATACAATTTGATGAATATGTTATTATTAAAAATTCTATCCATCAATTACTTCAATTAAGTGGAATATTAATTGAAGATAAATTCTTTTACGAACCAACAAAATTACATGCTACAATTACTTTAATTCAACAAATAAGTGAAACTCTTCCTTTTCTTATTGAAATTAAAGAAGTTGTGTTATGTATTGCCAAATTAGAAGAATATGATCTTATTATTAAAAATAAATCTAAACCATTTATTTCATTTATTCAAATAAAACAAGAAGAAAGCAGTTGGTTAAGTACCTTTTTATATAATAATTCAAACCATGACAAAATAAAAGAATATATTAAAGGTAAAACTAAAGATATTGATTTATTTAAACATTTAAATGATGATAATGTAATTAAATTTATTAAATTTCTTATTAATCTTATTAAAGAAGTAAATGAACACGAACGATTAGAAATTCTTACTGTACTACAACTTATTATATTTTCTAAATCAGAACAATTAATAAATATTATTCCATTATTGTTAAATGAAAAAACTTTTGCAATTGAATCATTCTCATTCTTTGAATTATGTTTCAATACTATTGTTTTTGCATTAACGATAAATGTTTCAACAAATATAGAACATTTGATTGATTTTATTTCTTCTCAACCTTATGAACATTTTACTCCTATTAATCATCTTGTACATTTATTTTTTGAGCAAATGAATAATAACCCAACTGCTGTTCAACGTATTGTTGAAAAGAAACCAATTTTAATGCCAATTGCTTGTAATGAATTATTAAAAACAGTCAATTCTTTAACAGTTAAAACAGTATGTTCATTTATTCAACATTTACCAAGTGGTAAAGCAAGAGATTCAATTATTAAAACATTAATACTAGCTGTAAAAACAAATGAAACAAATGAAGGATGGGAAGATTGTTTAAATGAATCAATTAAAACAATGATATTAAATCATTCAATAGAAAAAGAATGGTTATCTCTTTGTAAAAAACCAGAAGTTCAAATAAATAAAATCATTGAACAACTATCTAACATTACTATCAATGAAAAAGAAACTAATATTATTGCTCAAATTATACTTGAACTAATTTATTTACAAAGAGAAAAGAGTTTTAATGAAAATATTGAACAAGAAGGTATTCAAATATTAATAAGATGTTATCAACTAAATAAGGACATTGGTCAAATGATTCAAAAACAATTACAATCTTTACAAACTCAATATTCAAAAGAATTTTGTGAGGGAACATCTTTATATACAAATATTATAAAACTTTTACCAAAAGAATTGTATCAAGACTGTCTCCCACCAGATGATAATAAAGAAATTAGAGAAGTAGCTGTTGATGTAAAAGAAATAAAAAATGAAAACAATTAATTTCAATGATATTTAAAAATTATTTAATTTCACATGTATAAGTCATCATCATCATAATCCATATCTTCTGCATAACCATCTGGCATTTTGAAGGGGTCTATTTCTTTTGATACAAAATATTCAATTGGAAGATCCTGTTCTCTTTTTTCAACAATTGTTTCAAAATAATTAATGAAAGAATTATTTTTTGATATTACCTGTCCACATTTAGTTGGTTTATTTTTTGTAGATAAAAGATACAAGTTATTCATTAAATAAACATTGAAAATATGACAGTCAAAATAACAATGATGTATTTTACTATGAAGATTAATTTAAAATATTTAAATTAATGAATATGAAAATAATGTTAGATAATAACAAACTAATATTCTTCTGACTTTTCATCTTCTTTTATCATTCGTTGAATTAAACCATTTTTTAATAATTCTAAACCAAGACATTCAATTCCATTCTCTTGAAAAATACTGTTTAGTATATCAAGAATTGTTTGACGATAAATTGTTGAAACGTGTTCATAACTATAAAATGTATTCTATTGATTAGATTTTTATATTAACTTAGTTATAATATAAACACAAACAATACAATAGTCAATCCATTGACTTTGAAGTATAAATTGTAAAATTGATTGATACCGTGAATTAATCATTGATTGAACAATTCCAATTAATTGAATTCTTTCAGTAGTAATATTTCCATTATTATATTTTAAATGATGTGTTATATAATCAGAATATGTAATAAGTTCATTTAAACAAATTGGAACAAATTCTGGTTCAATAATAATTTGATCATTAGTACAACCTTTAAGCATTGAAAGAATAATGTCAAGTCCATTTTGAACAAACCCCTTACTTGTCTTAATGATAAATATTAATTTAATTCTTTTTTAATTAAATAAATGAAAAAACTAAAACAAACGGAAGTGAAAATTGTTTTATAAAATGGTTTAATAAGTTCATTAGTATTAAATTGCAGATTAATAGAAACACATTTAATAATAGAAATTGTTTGAAAAAGTAATGTAACATTATAAATCATAACTTCATCATAATCATCTCCATAATTTCCTTGTTGTATAAACACATTAAGTAATTTATCAATAAAACATTGTTTTGAAAGCCATTCAATTCCAACAAATTGTTCTTGTTCTTTATACCTTAATAAATCATTTAATAATGAATATACTTCATCAATATCTAAACATTTCATTAATTCATCAATTGGTAATTCTTGTTCTACTATAACTTGAAACATTGTAGAATTACTAGAAACAAGTAATTCATCTATTACTTTAATAATACAACTAAGAGTATTAGTATTTTCTGAATCAATTGTTTCAATTAATGCTGTTAAGAAATCATTTTTTTCAAATAAATAATCTTTAATTTTTGGAAGATTATTACATAACACTCTCGTTGCATTATTTTGTAATTGTTCCGTACTTACTTCTATTCCACAAATATAACTTATTAATTGTGTTATAATTTCTTCTCTACAAAAACTAAATAAAAAGTTAATTAAATTCTTTTAAATTTAATTTTAGGTATACTTCTCTTTTTTTTTTCTTGTTATACCCCTTTTTTATTCATAATAACAAACTACTCTTGTAAATGTCTATTATAATATAATTCATTTGAAAAATCATTGTTATTTAATATTTTCTTTAAACTATTAACACCTCCTTTAATAAGTCTATTAACAGATACTCCGCTCGATTTCACCCCACTTCGTTCCAAATACGACATTATTGATTTCATCAAGTTCTTCAGTTTTCTTTTTTTTAGAATTTCTTTTTACTTTTCTTTCATTTCTTTTTATTTCTAAGTTCTTAACTAAACATTTTTGTGTCTTTTCCTTTTGTTTTAAAACACAAATTATTTCTATTTTTATTATTTTTATTGGGTTTCAACAAAAAGAGAAAATAGAAAATCTAATCTCCTTTTTCTCTTTTAGGGTTTTCACAAAACCTTAAAATTTTTAATTTTCCATTAAAATAAGAACTATTTAAATCCTTCAATCTCAAAATATAAATCAAATCTACTCAAATGGCAAGAACAAAAGGAAATAATACTGAAAGACCAACTACTTCTAAACAACCAAGAAAATATTATGCACCTAAATCTGCTTCTAAAAAAGCAGCTGTTTCTTCAAAGAAAGCAGTTGCAGGAGTTTCACAAAAGAAACCAGTAGCAAGACATTCTCATCCAGGAATTAAAGCTTTAC